ATATGTGTATATGTGTGTGTGTGTGTGTGTGTGTGTGTATATATTTATATATATATATATATATATAGAGAGAGAGAGAGAGAGAGAGAGAGAGATGCAGTTATCGATACAGATATAGATATATAGTTTAGGATTCTTTGATGAAAAGAAAGTTCAAAAAACAACATTTATTGGAAATATAACATTTTTGTAAAATTATAAATATCTTTACTTAATTTTCATAAATGTAATGCTTCCTTGCTGAATAAAAATATTAATTTCTTTTAAAAAAACATCCCAAACTTCTGAACAGTAGTGTATTATATATAAATATATATTTGGTTTATATATTAAGGGCGTAGTTTTTGTTTGACGGTGACTTTTCTGATTTGACTTAAGGATTATGAATAGTTTAGTGTTCCCTCTGGGATTTTTAAACTAACTATTAAACTTTTTTTTCTGCAACGTAACCTTCTCATTTGTTGCATCATAAATCACTGTTTAACTTTGAAAGGTTTGGCTGTTATCGCAAACGCAATGAATTGGATTTGTATTACTCATTGGACTCAAAGCAATAATCTTGATGTTGTGCACCTGTGAATGAACCGTGATTAAACACATACCATCTGTTTGGCTTCCTCTCGTATCTCTGGCATGGACAAGATGCTGTATAATGCTCCGTTCACATAGTAACTAATCTATATGTGCATACATGAACACAAACATGCAATGAACATTTGAAATTTCAGCATTCCAGACACTTTCATCCACTACCAGCCAAAGTTTGGACACATCTTAAAATCATTCTGAACTAATCGTATGGTTATAAAAGCTTTGTACACTTTGTATGCAGTTATGGCACTTTGTTTCATATTTGATTAACTTTACAACTGTTATTGAACTAAATTAAATCAGCATTAAACTAAACTGATCTAAATGACACTACTGTCTTCTGTAGAGCTGCTTTAAAACTGATCTTGAACTTATTTTTGTCATTTGCTTTATAACAAATGAATTTTGCAACATTAACACTGTTATTTTTTAGCTTATTACTGTAAAGCTGCTTTGGCATGGCATTTTATTTCAGTGTTTGAAAGATGTTGTTAGTATTAAGGGTATCGCCTTAGATTGGTTTAAGTCATATTTAAAAGACAGGTTTTTTTTTTTGCATTGGGAATTTGTGCTCTACATGAGCTAAATTACATAGTGGTGTGCCACAGGGTTCTATACTTGGGCCTATTTTATTTTCGTAGTATATGTGCCCATTAGGCTAAAATTTTTTATAAGTATAATTTTATGCATCATCTATGAACAGATGATATATTGACATATTCCAATTGATCCAAAAGGCTCTCAATCCTTTGATGAACTTGTACAGTGCTTAATCAAGATTGAAGCCTGGTTAGCAAGCAATTTTCTTCATCTTAATACTAATAAGATGGGAGTGTGTTGTCTTTGGACCCTCTTCTGCAACTAAGGATATTATAAGTATGCTGGCCTTTTATTGTGATAAGAGTTTCAGATCATGTTAAGAATTTGAGCTTAACTTTTTTTTTAAAGATATCATTTTTACATTTTTAAAAATTATTTTTGAGTTGCTGAGCAAATTCATTAGGGAATATAATAGTGTAGGCTTGATTCTCCATTTCAAATGTTTCAAAAAGGGAGTGAAATCTTCAAGGTACACTTGCAAGACAAACTTTTAAAATCCAAAGTTGACGAAAGCGTTCTTATTTGCGAATCGTCTGACGTAAAAAGGCCTTAGCTAATTGACGCCTTCAGGTATTCACTAATCAGGAAGGCGGTGAACAAGCTCAAATAACACGCCTTGTTTGGGCATATAGCGCTTTAGCAATAACTGATTTACCTCATGGTTCTCATGTCCCAGGAGCTCCGTCAGGACTTTTAGGACATGCTTGGCCTCCTCCGCGCATTTCGTCTTTCCTGAAATGTAAACACTGCTTATAGTACACTTCTCTATTTACTTTAGCAAATCAAATAAAAGAGTGCAAACTAAGTTTAAAAAAGGCTGATGAACAACAATGCAATTGTTTAAATGTAGCTTTATTTCTTTGACAGGTATTGATTATTAGATCATTATGGCAGTGCATCTGTTACCTTGAGTGCGCAGACAGAGGTTCATGAGGAGGGAGATGGCATATTCAAGCATGTAGTCAGACAGACAGTCTGAGTCGTGGAGCTCTTTGACCAACCAGCCAATCAGACTGTCTCTGATCATAGCAGACTGCTGCGCTCACCTGCACACAGCAGAAAACCCGGCATTTTTGAGGTGTTTAAAATGTGTTGTGCAGGAAATGCTTTAGCTAATTTGGTTTTCCCCATTCAAAACTGATTACATTTCTCATTGTGCTATATTATCAAATCTTGGATTCAATCTCTGTCATTTTGTTCTTTTTCAAGTACAATTTTTGTAAAAATTTTTGGAACTGATTGATCCTATGGCTCAGTGATCAGAGCTTATGCACCTCAGTTTTTGAGTGAAAAAAAGGATAATTTCTTGAGTCTGACCAATATATCGTTTTGTCAATTTTATAGGCCGATATGTCTGCATCGGCATATATGCCGCAGATATGGCGCCGATTAACTTTTTTTTTTTTTTACCTTTGTTTTTGGTGCATTTTTTAATTATATTTACAATTCTCTTGGTGCAGCTGATACATTTCAACATGTTTTACACACTTTTCTAAAGTCAGGAAAAACTGAAAACACATTATTACAGTCTGTGTCTTTATTAACATTTATTAACAAATGGCATACCTGAGGCTGAGTTTCTGCAGAGCTGCAAGAAGGTTTTCTTGAGTTACAGACTCTTTCTCTTCATTCTTCAGAGAATCAAGCCCAAACCTCAGTAAAGAGGGTATCTGAGACAGGTACATGCGTCCTGGGTGTGCAACAGTGCATGAGACGACAATAAACATGTTTCAGAACTAAAGACAGAGATATTTACACAACTTATTAAATTAAAACGTAGCGAAACTTCTGCTCCGTAAATTTTGGCAACTAGGAATTAATTCAATTTTGCTCAAAATCAACATCAATTAATCAGTTTGGGCCATGGTCAAAAAAAAAGTTTGAAAAGGTAGTTTTTATTATAAAATGCCAAATGGCCAACAAAATCAAGGTGCAGAACTAAAGACAGAGATATTTACACAACTTATTAAATTAAAACGTAGCGAAACTTCTGCTCCGTAAATTTTGGCAACTAGGAATTAATTCAATTTTGCTCAAAATCAACATCAATTAATCAGTTTGGGCCATGGTCAAAAAAAAAAGTTTGAAAAGGTAGTTTTTATTATAAAATGCCAAATGGCCAACAAAATCAAGGTGAAAAAATATAAATCCACACATGCTCAACTGGTTCAGGATCAGGATTTTGATTCTAGCCCAACCAGTTCAGAAGTTATGCAAAAAACACGTGTGTCCCTGTTTACAGTCACTGACATACATAAAGGTCACATTAGCATTTTTTGTGAAACTTAAATAATAGGTGGAAATATAAATCCACATGCTCGGTTGATTCAGGGTCAGAATTTAGATTTTAGCCCATGCAGTTATGCAACAACTTTGTGTACTATAGCACCATCTAGAGCACTGGAGTGATGTGTGTGTGCGCGTGTGTGTATAATTAGCGGTGGAATCTGGAACCATCCTGCTAAGTTTGTTTACAGTCCCTTACACACAAAAAGGACACATTAGCGAAATTTTCTGCAAAATTTTTCAAGCAAAAAAGCTTCTCTGGCTACTCTGAATAGCGTAGCGAATATAGAGATCAATGCAATGAATGTAGTGTAGCAATCAACGCAACCAATCCGCATGACCAACTTGAACTTGTGTGGAGTTGCGAGAATTTCTATTGAAATAAATAGATTTAGCCTGCGAAAATTCACAGAACAACGGTTAATGTTACCACCCTTTAAGTTTAAAAAGAATGTTTTTCATAAAATGGCAAATGCCCTCAAAATGTTCGAGGTGGACATATAAATCCACATTCACAATTGATTCAGGATCAGAATTTAAATAATAAAAAAACGTTTTTTTTGCACATTATAGCACCACCTAGAGCGTTGGAGGGATGTGTGTTTATGATCAATGAGTTGGATTTAGGACCTGCCAAGTTTTTTACTCTCTGGTGTGCAAACTGGTTTAAGGAAGAAAAAGTAAAAAAATTGGAACAAACAAAACAAAACTTCTCTGCTTGAAGCGAAGACATTTTGTGATGAATCATTTTCACTTACCATCACACAAAGAGGCAAAAGCATTGATGAGTCGTGCCATATACTGTCTGACAATCTCAATTTTGGATTTCATCAGATTAAGAACAGTTTTCTGTAAAGTAAACACAACTGGTTAGGCAAAAACTGACTTGGCTGTTTTTTTTCTCCTTGCTTTTTCATATGGCTTTTGGTCCAATTAGTTGTTCCTTAATGTGAAAAGGACTACTTTGTCTGCCTTCCAAGTTTATTCTGGATTTTAGTAACATGAGATATTGTCATTCAGCCTGAACAAAGATTGAAAAGTGAGCTAAAAGCATGTATGCTATTATATGACTCGATTGCTCTAAGGAACTTGCTGACAATGATTGGAAATTATGAGTCAAAATGTCACATAATGTGCTGAAACCTGATCATCCACATTCAGCTTCATCCTAAATACTTGAGACAGACTGTTGGTAAACACATTTTTAAATTAAGTAGGTCATAGACAGCACAAATTATTTTTAAGTGTTTTAATTGTTGTGGTGTAAGTGCACTCATTGTGAACCACAAAACAAAAATGTATCAAAATCTTGATAGAAATGCAAGGGTCCATTTTCAAAACAGTTTATACATTTGCATACTATCCTACAATATATTTTTTTAAAAATCGACCAATCATTGAGTCCATGTGGACAATAGGCTAAAATGTTTATATTTTTATGTGAAGCTCGATGTTTATTTATTCAGCCCAGTCGATAGCATGATGTCTCCACATAAAAGAAACAGAGATTTTTTTGCGTCGATAAGCACAACAAAATTGAAAGTTTTACATAATTGTATAGATGCAGCACACGGCAATCTAAGTGTTGAAAACAATGTGTCAAGATAGCTAAATACCATGTCCTGCAAGGTCATATCAGTGCCTTGATATATAGGGCCAGATTTACTAAACAGGGCAAATTAGCGTTAGAGCGCAATTCCATAAAAGCGCAGATGGGAGGGGAAAATTCTGCATGTGATTTACTAACAACGCGCACATTAAAGAACACAGCCAGAAAATTTCCATAATGACCAGCGCAATTCACTGCATGTCTTTAGTAAATCCTGGCAGTAATATTTTAACGCCAAAAGACAGTTTGCACTGACGCAAGCTGTTAGTAAATCTGACCCATAATATTTTTATATAAAGCTATTTTACATAGTATTTTCAAACTGTAAAATTGAAATTGAAATGTTCATATTCATTTAAATATAATTTCCCAACAAGGGTTTTGTAAAGGTGGTTCCGCATTATTTGGAGTGTGAGGAATGGTGATATTATTGTGCGGGTATGTTGTGTGAGGCCAAATTTCCTTTTCTTTTCAAATATAAACATCCTTCTTTGAAGGACTGTGTGAGTCAGGCTAGTTTAACTTCAAACTGGTTTGAGGAAACGTTCCAGATAGCCGGAGTTATGCATACATTCTCAGAACATTCTCAAGTTTGGCAAATCTTCAGTGTTTGCTCTGATTATTTGCAGTTCGTCTGCGTATGAGGATTTCACAATGACAAGGGTTTGAACGTAATGAGTGTATCCTGGTCCAGATAAGGATTACATGGTTTACATGCATGTCAAAACTAAGAGTTGATTCATTGTATTTTTTTTTTATAAATAAAACCATTATTAAATAAAAAAAAAATCTCATTTTATTAATAAAAGTAAAAATAAATAAAATTATGTTATAACTTTTTCTTATTATTATTATAAATATATCTAAATTTAGGAATATATTTATTCCTAAATTTGAAAGCCCTCTCTTCAGCTCACCAAGGCTGATATTTTACAATAAAACTTTTTTCTGTATTTTTGATCAATTCATTTGATAAAAAAAATACAAATACAAACCTCAAAAACAGTAATATTGTAAAATATTATTTAAAATACTGTTTTCTGTGTGAATATCTGTTAAAATGTAAGAAAATATCTCAAAGATGGAGATAAAACAACAAAATACCTCCTACAAACTCTGAATTTTGACCATGCAGTTTTTAGCATGTTTGACCAATATTACCAGTGAATCTTGACCTTTTTTTATTTTTATTGTGATATTTTGTCAGAAAAGACGGGATACATCAGTGATGTTTTTAGTTTACTGACGGTAATTCTGAGTTACCCAGCGCAAAGCTTGAAGCAGCAAAGCCTTCAGTCGATCTGATCCATTCGCTAGATCTTTCTTCAGCTTCTCGTAGTCAAGGGAAGGCAACAACGGCACATCTTTGGGCCTCCTGAGAGCAGGAAATAAAAGGATGATGAATCAGCACATGAGATCTGGCTCTTCAGGTTACTGATGGGAATCTTTCCATCTCTGGGAAATGTTATGTTTCCATAATCATAACATAAAAAATTATGTTTCCATAATCTGGCTTATTGCATTTATAGAATTACATTTGAATGATCTGACAAGTACAAGATGCAAAGTTAACACACTACTTGTGATATTAATTAAATATGTTTACAAAATTTACAACAAAAATTACAGTTTCACCCTGGTTTCTGATCCCCCCCCACACACACACAATGTAAATAACTGGCCTTATAAGATATTCAGGGGTCCTTGGTATTAAAAAAATCAGTCAATCAATCAATCAATCAATCAAATGTGAAAATCCCTGAATTACGTCAAGTTATGAAATGTTTATCAGACATAAATGCTACTACTGGCGAGATGAGATTTTCTAATCTTTTTATCAATAATAATAACAATTAAAAAAAACTTACTGAGGTGCGACTGATGCCCGCAGCATTGAGGATGCCTGAATGGGGAAAAAAAAGTAATGAATCTGTTGATACATTGGCTTTCAAACAAAAATAAAATGTCTGTGCGGGTTAGTGAACTTTTAGATGGTTATTCTACAGTATGTGAGTATTCAGGTTGTTGCAGTAATTAACTAGCATGTGTTCTACAATGGTTGCGAGCGCATGCAGTACGGTGGGGTTACGTGCACATGTACATGCGATGAATGGCCTGAAACAAATTAATAACCTTGTCGCAAAGCAGGGAGGTTGGAGGAGGGGGTTAGTGAGAGGAATTCCCCACGCTCATTACAGCACTGCACTTGCGGGATCTAATTTCCAACTGTGCCAAAGAGCGTGGCAAATTCTGTCATCTCAAAGACGCAATTAGAAGCCGTTCCTTGGGGGAGGGTTACACCGAAACCCACGAGAAGGCGGATCGTGTGAGCACAAACTCAGGTGGTTCCGCATTATTTGGAGTGTGAGGAATGGTGATATTATTGTGCGGGTATGTTGTGTGAGGCCAAATTTCCTTTTCTTTTCAAATATAAACATCCTTCTTTGAAGGACTGTGTGAGTCAGGCTAGTTTAACTTCAAACTGGTTTGAGGAAACGTTCCAGATAGCCGGAGTTATGCATACATTCTCAGAACATTCTCAAGTTTGGCAAATCTTCAGTGTTTGCTCTGATTATTTGCAGTTCGTCTGCGTATGAGGATTTCACAATGACAAGGGTTTGAACGTAATGAGTGTATCCTGGTCCAGATAAGGATTACATGGTTTACATGCATGTCAAAACTAAGAGTTGATTCATTGTATTTTTTTTTTATAAATAAAACCATTATTAAATAAAAAAAAAATCTCATTTTATTAATAAAAGTAAAAATAAATAAAATTATGTTATAACTTTTTCTTATTATTATTATAAATATATCTAAATTTAGGAATATATTTATTCCTAAATTTGAAAGCCCTCTCTTCAGCTCACCAAGGCTGATATTTTACAATAAAACTTTTTTCTGTATTTTTGATCAATTCATTTGATAAAAAAAATACAAATACAAACCTCAAAAACAGTAATATTGTAAAATATTATTTAAAATACTGTTTTCTGTGTGAATATCTGTTAAAATGTAATTTATTGCTGTGATCAGAGCTGAATTTTCAGCATCATTACTCCAGTCTTTAGTGTCACATGATCCTTCAGAAATCACTCTAATATGCTGATTTGTTGGTCAAGAAACATTTCTGATTATTATCAGTGTTGGAAACAGTTTTTCTTTTATTTATTTTGAAAACTGTGAAACACTGGCATTAAAATTTTTTTGAGTAAGATTTTTTTTTATAACAAATACATAATTTTATTCAAAACACACAACCACCTACATTTACATGTCAGAACTAGGAAGAAGGAAAAAGGTCTCGGTTACGTATGTAACCCTCGTTCCCTGAAGGAGGGAACGGAGACGTCACGTCGGTGACCGACGAATTGGGATCTCGCTCCGAGAGACCAATCCACTTCGAGTGCAAACTAAACGAGCCAATGGCATCCAGCTGCCGCTGATCACAGCGTGAGCATAAAAAGGCAGCCGGTGCAACGCATACCAGATTTTCGCCGAGGAGCCGAGCCGGTGACCCAGCCGCTCAGTGGTGGTACAGCAGCCATGGCGATGGGACGTGACGTCTCAGTTCCCTCATTCAGGGAATGAGGGTTACATACGTAACCGAGACGTGCCCTTTCAGTCGGTCGCTCTCAACGTCACGTCGGTGACCGACGAATTGGGATCCCTACCAAAGCGCCATGGATTCTGCCCCTTCCAGTGTCCTGTGCGAGCCTCCTGTGCCCCTTTTTGGTATAGGCGGGGCTCGCAACAAGAAGATTAGTCACTGTTGTCGTAACACTACCCACTCAGTGAGATTGGATAACACTGGGAAAATGTACCCGTTCCACTTGGAACAGGAACGTTGCAGACGCCCCATCCTTCCCGAAGGAGGTTTCGGAAGCACTTACACATATGAACAACCGTTTAGGTGCTTATGGAAGATTAGAGGTGATTATAACCCTCTTGGAAATGGCAGAAG